TTGGATAGTTTCAGGCTCACTATAGAAGACACAAGACATGTCATCTACATGCCTGCGCTTGGCAAGATTTCTCTAGTTAAGCTCTTATTGTAGTAGATCAACCAGAGGAAAACATGAATATTGGGTGGAACTCTAATATTCCAAATATCATCTTTGATAGCAGATATTATCCCTCCAAAGTTAATCAATTTATAAAAGGATTTGACAAAGTATTTGCTAGAGGATTCTAGAATCCAAACTGGCTAGTCTGAGGAACCAGACAGACACACTGGCTCAACCACCATGATGAGATCCTTCCATCTATCTAGGGTGCCTTCCACCACACACCTCCTTAAAGTTAAGCGCAGTTCACCATCCACCAAAACCTGTGCAAGAGTAGAATCTTATTGTTGACAAATAGTAAACAAGTCCCATAATGCAGTTTTAAGAGAGCAATCCCCAACCCAGATGAGATGCCAGAAGGAAATACTTTTACATCTCTAGGGATCCATCTATAGAAATTTTTAGAGGCTGCAAGAGCCCATGACAAACTTTTCATAAATGGATACCCCAGGGTCACCCTAGTGTTAAAGAGATTAGGGCTGGAAGTGTTGTACTTATAGGTCAGCATCTTCTTCCAATCACTATCCCTGTCATCATAGAATCTTTTACCCCATGAGGCCAGAAGGGCCATGTTGAATTCTCTAAGGTTGGGAACCCCCATACCCCCAAACTCTTTCCTTCTAGAGATCAACCCCCAGTTAGCAAGGTGGTATTTATGATTATCACCCACATTTCCCTAGAAGAAGTGTGACATTTGTGAGGTGATCATATCAATAGCCCATTTGGGAAATTTCACAATAGACATTAGATAAGAAGGAATGCTGACAATGCAAGTAGTAAGCAGAATCAGTTTCCCCCTATATGAGAGAAATCTCCCTAACCATCCAGAAATGTTTTTGATAATTCTATCAATAATGGGTTGGAGGTCCTCCCTTCTAAGTTTTTAAAAGTGAAGGGGGACACCTAGATATTTAAAGGGGAAATCCCCAAGCTGGCAACATAAAACCTAGGCAAAATCATTAGATAATTGCTCAGAAATATTAATAGCATGAAGATCACTTTGATGGAAATTAATCTTCAAACCAGATAGATTTTCAAAACAGGATAAAATCCACTTCATGTTCTTGGCATACTCCAATGATTTATCCAAGAATAGAATGGTATCATCAGCATACTGCAAACTGACTACCCCACCTGGGAAGGCATGAGGTAGTAGTCCACAGATTAAACCACTATTGGCAGCTTTATGAAGAATTTTGGAGAAGACATCAACTACCAGATTGAACAAAAGGGGTGAGTGAGGGTCACCCTGTTTCAATCCTTTCCCTCCAGAGAACTGGGGACCATTAGAGTCATTGATTCTAACTCGGAAAGTCCCTTGGTGAATAGTAGACATTACCCATTCCACCCATTTAGTACCAAAGCCTCTAGAAAGAAGCATTTCTTTCAAAAAGTCCCAACTAACTCTATCATATGCTTTCTCATATATAGTTAAGTTTAAGAATCAGACCAGTTGACCCAGATCTATGAGTTTCATGAATGACCTCATGAGCCATTACCACACTTTCCAGAATGAATCTGCCTTTAATAAATGTAGTTTGGTTGGAGGAGATAAGCTTGTCACATAAGGGGGAAACCCTAGTAGTCATAGCTTTAGGGAAAATTCTAACAACAAAGTTAGTAAGGCTGATAGGCCTAATGTTCTTCATATCTCTAGCCATAGGAATTTTAGGAATAAGAATAATTATGTCATGATTAAACTTATATATACCAAGTTACCATTCTCAAAGTCTCTAACCATCCACATAAAATCTTTTTTGATCAAATACCAAAAAGGTTGATAAAATAAAAAGGATAGGCCATCAGGGCTAGGGGCCCCAGTAGCATAAGAGCTCATCATAGCTTGTTTGATTTCCTCTTCAGAAAAAAGTCTCTCTAGATGCTCTCTCTCTCATCATTACTAACTAATTCATCCTGAAACCAAAATTCAGCATCCAAATGGATGTGAGGTTTGTGTTCCAAAGCACACAGATCTTTGTAAAAAGAGGTAGCAACCTCAAGCATCTCCTGTGTCGAATTGACCACACCATTAGAACTGTTTAGTTCAGAAAGATGATTCTTCATGTGTCTGTGGTTAGCCAGGGCTTGGAAATAAGCATTATTCCTATCTCCCTCTAAAAATTTTCTGTCCCTAGATCTCTGCCAAAGAGCAGCCTCCTCTTTCTTCCATACTTCATCCAGTTCTTTCTTAATCTCCTTCATTCTGTCATAATCATACATAGATAGTTGTTGGGTTTCAGACATGACATCAAGTTTGTCAAACTCCATAAGGAGTGCCCTCTTCTTTTTCTTCAACACTGCCTCTCTATTAATGCTCCACCCTTTAGTTTTCTTCCTGAGAACTCTAGTCTTAAGCATCTAGTTATTAGCTGAGGATTTGGATGAAGACACAGAGTTCTAGGCTTCTGTGACCATTTGATGAAAGCCTGGTTGGGAGAGCCACCATTTTTCAAACCTAAAAGGCTTGGGGTTGGATGGGATTCTAGCACCAGTGTCTAGGACCAAAGGAGTATGATCACTCCCCACCCTGGGAAGGGCTGAAAAGGTGGAAAAAGGAAAATAGGCATCCCAATTCACAGAAATGAACACTCTATCTAGTACAACAAACAAAGGGGAGGTCTGGTTGTTAGACCAGGTGAATACCCTGTTAGAGATAGAAATCTCCATCAAGGCCCATCTGTTGATCCAATCATTAAACATAAATGCATTCTGTTGATTTACTAAACCACTACTTTTCTCTTTATCATTCCTAACTAAGTTGAAGTCACCACACATCATGATAGGATAAGAAGCATTTGGTAAAGTATCATGTAACGCATCTATAAAATCAATCTTAAATTCAAGGTATGCAGACCCATATACTAGCACCATTTGCCAGACAAAGCCATTAGATTTATTTTTAACAGTAGCAATAATAGAGAATATTTGGTTAATAAAACCCACAAACTAAAAAATCATTTTCTTAAAACCCACAAGGATCCCCCCAGCAGTATTTTCAGCTGGCAAAAAATGTCACACAAAATTATGAAATCTATCAATGGCTTTGAGGAAACCCTCAAAAGTATTCTCCTTATTTGTTTCTTGAAAACCAATAAATTCAGGATCAGACTTAGCAATAGTATCACAAAGGCAATGTATCTTCCCATGTTGCCCTAGACCTCCAATGTTCCAAATAAGACCTATCATAATTAATTAATTTTGAAAGGATTGGATAAGCCACAAGGCCTAGCTTTAGTTAGCACCGTAGGTGTTCCCCTAGTAGCATCAGAAGTGCCAATTGGCTCCAAGGGGAAGGCACCATTAGGTGTACTAACTAATTCATTAGAATCAATATCAACATTATCAGGAAGCACTATTTTAGGATTATTCTTGGCAAACACCAAACATCTCTCTTTCTCCACAGCTATCATCTCATCAATGGTGAGAGACTTTTGATTATCATCCCCTCCCCCCCCCCCAATCATCAAGTTCATTTGACTCATTTGATTAGCAAGGACAGATTTATCCATAGTAGAAAAGGATTTACCTCTGAATGTTTGTGGGATCTCCAAGTTCTTCTTCCTCTTATATACAACAACGTTCTCCACGATGTTCACATTGCCATGCCCTCTAGTAGCAGGCCTTTTAGCCAGCACAGGACCCCATCTTGATTTCTTCTCATGGATAGTTTCATCATTTTGGGTTTGATTAAGTGATTGCAGCATGGATCTCTTCGAAGACTCACTTTGTAGGATTTGGACAGCCTCAAGAGGGAGAACCCCCAGCTCTTCTTCTGTTGATTCCTCATTTTCAGAATCAGAAACATCCATTGATCTTAACAGATCCTCACAGTATCCATACTACCAGCACTCTTCTTGGGAGTTATGTAAGTAGCATTTTCCTCAAATGGAGAGGCATTTTTTGGGCTCCTCACTCTTTCATCCTCCTTTTCCTCCCCATCAGTAATGTGGTTCTGTTCTGTAGCGTCACCAGCACGGCCATACTTAGGTTCATGTCCATCAAAAGATGCACCATCAAGGTCAACGGCAGCCAAAGCACAGTTCATAATGAAATCCTCCTGATCAGCATCATTTTCATATTCCATAGGTGTAACAACCAACTTTTGAGTACCATACTTGTTTGAAGACCCATGTTTAGTTGAAAAATTAGCTTTGTCTAAATCATCAATGACCTAATCCTTCAGAACATCCTCTCCCTGAGCTCCATTCTCTTTTTCTGCCTGTTCTTCCTCAGCACCCTCATCCTCCTCATTACCATCTTCATCCTCATCTAAATTAATGACAGAATCAACACCACCTGCTTGTTCAAAACACTCCCAGTAAAACCAAGTAGGAACAACTTTTTCTTCATCTCAATCAGTTTCTCAAAAGGAATCTTGGTTGGATCTCTGCAGGCTATTTTGATTCTGACATTCTCAAAGAAAGTTCCGAACAATTCCATTCCAGTCCACATCTGTAAGCACCCCAAACAGTGAAGCAATTGGCGCAAACACTTTCCAAGTACACCACTTTGGAGGAATCCCCTCAATCAGTACCCAGGCTCCAATCAGCTCTCCAGAAGGATCACATCCACCCTTCTATTGAGTTAATGTTACATTCATATCTTGTGGCAGGGAGAACCCAATGAATTCAATGAGGTCTTCCACTTTTGTGCATTGGTTTTTCTCAAGCAGACAACAAGCATGTAGCGAATGAGAAGAAGCAGGGCTACAGTCTTGCTTTATTTCTTCTGCAGCGAGTGTTCGACAACAATAGGTAGCATACACTAAATAGGATTAACAACAACACAACAACAAAATGAAGCTCTCGATAGAGCATATTTTGGGTAAACCAACAAAATGCATGAAAATCACTAATACAAAATTTGAACGTATCCATCTCATTTGCACGTAAGCCAATCTACCGAGGGTGCTCTGCAGATAACCTGAACTCAAGTTCCATACTGTACCGCCTGATCGACCCCCTAGGGTTGCTTTCAACTTTTGGAAATGGAGATGTATTATTCGAAGGTTTCCCTGTAGATGCATGTGTGCCTTCTAGTGTCAACTCCACTTGCCTCATGGTCGGGCGATCCTCTCTGCTCAGTTTTATGCAGGAAACCGCGATAGTAGCCACTTCTTCCACTTTTTTGCCTCCTTCCTCGATGACTTGTGGATCTAATATCTGTGGCAATTGACCTTTTTCAAACAGGGTAGCAAAGTGTGCAACAAGACTCTCATCGTCCGAGGACAAATATGAAAATGGTTTCTTCCTGGTTAGCAGTTCCACAAGGACGACCCCGAAGCTATATACATCACTTTTCTCAGTTAGCCGCCCTGTGTAAAAGTACACAGGATCCCAATACCCTCTCGTACCTTGAGCCCTTGTTGTAACCCCAGATATATCCATCGGGATGTACCTTGAAGCTCCAAAATCTGCTACCTTTGCTGTCAGAGTATCATCCAAAAGTATGTTAGCAGACTTGACATCCCTATGGATGATAGGTGCTGAAGCAGCTAAGTGAAGATAGGCCAATGATTTTGCTGCCTCAATGGCTATGCGCAACCTGTCATCCCAAGACAAGGATTTTGGTCCCTCGACATGAAGATGCTCATAAAGTGTCCCATTAGATATGAACTCATAGACTAACATTGGTACTTCGGTTTCAAGGCAACAACCATAGAGTTTTACGACATTTCTATGGTTTATTTGTGATAGGATAGCTACCTCATTGATAAACTCATCGATCTCCTTCTTCAACACCTTCTTCGGTTTCTTGATTGCCACAATATGTTGGTTTGATAATATCCCTTTGTAAACAATACCATGTCCTCCGCCACCAACCACAAGATCTTTATCAAAGCGATGAGTTGCCTTCTCTAGCTCTTCTAAGTTTATGATCATTCTTTCTGCAATGCCAGCACTTTGGGATACCAATTGTTGCAAAAGCTGGCCGCGATTTTGTTCGAAGAACTTACGTTTTAACATTTGAGACCTCCCATGTTTTAGTTTCTTCATAATGAAAAATACAGCAAGAAACAATAATACTAGTCCAGCTCCAGCAGCAACTCCTATGACGCTGCTCATGCCTGAAAGTATATACAATATAATTATGCATTTTCTACTGCGTGTACCTTATAGATATAGCAGAAATGTTGTTGCGACATTTCTTACCTTTAAAGCGTTTGCGACCAACACCTGCAACAGCGAGTACATCATAAATTAATTAAATTAAGCATATATAGTATCAGCAATAAACGACAAAGCAAATTAACCGCCTGTATGAGTGAGGTGCATGCATGCAAACCTTTGCATCCATCGATGAGATAGGCATTGCCGTCGTAACCCTCACTACATTGACACGAGTAGCCTCTGATCATTGGTTTGCAGAGACTGTTCTTGCTCCTACATATGCCAGGACACTTGATATATTGTGTTTTCCGCTGTGGTATGCTCACATTGGCTAGCTGCTGCGAGCTGGTTGGTTGCAGTTGCAAGATCTCCCAGTCTAGAATAGTGGGAACCTTCAGTCTAGGTCCTAGACCGTTTGTCCATGACGACTCCGGAAGCTGGGCAGAGACCCAACTCTTGTTGAACCACCCTTCTGCGGCGATGAACACGTATGACAGCGGCAATAGCCTAACCGAGTACATGTTGGGGTCTATCCAATCAACCCATAATTCACTCGGCATGCCATCCCTAGACGTGGAGATGTGTGCTTGGCAGCAGCCCATGCCATAGCAGTACTCCTTATCATCCATGCTAGAAGCTGCCGCGGTATCATAGGTTACATTCTTGTTTGTGGGGCAGAAGGAGGAGCAACCACTAAGGATTTCCCGGTTCTTCCCAGTGTTGGACAACACCGCCTGCACATTGCACCCCATGAGGATGAGCTCATTGTGGGTAGACAGCGAGTAGGGCACCGCCTCTCCCGGGCCGATCCCAAAGCTGATGCCATTAAAACTGCGTATGAAATCATCGAATCTAGAGACTCGGTCAATGTTGATGACTCGGATGGTGTTCTTGCGGAGGGAGATATCGACGACTTGGAGTCGGCCTAGCATCAGTCGCGGAGGGCGGTGGCTGGTGTCACAAGTGAGCTTGAACCCTGGCACATAGCACTTGGCCGGGCCTATGCCAAACGGGTATGGCACACTCAGATTGCCACAGGACATGCTACAATTATCTGCAGGTGCATACATACAAACATTAATTTTATCTTCAAGTGAAGAATAATGATTCTGTCTCAATCTATTTTTATGTTACTGCACCAGATTTATACTCCATGAATTTTTTTATATTACATTGGATGTTAAAAAGAACATCAGCAAATGCACGGTAGACATAATTTTTTCCTTACTAGATGTAGAATTATAAACGTAAAAATAATTTGCTGATAGAATACCCTCATAGACAGGCGTGTACAGACTATGTCAACTAGAGAGGAAGTTTTCAAATTTGAACTAGATGTGGCCTTTAGTGACGCTTTCAAATTTGAACTGCAAAAATGTCTTATAGTGGTAGGATCTATTGTCCCTGAATGTATAAAAAGGTTTTTTACACCTAGGGTGCATAATTAGTCATGGATCTGTCTAGGGCACATATAGAAGTGCTCTTGTTATTGCACATCTAAGTGACTCAATCAAATCTGAAAGAAAAAGAAAAAAGAAAATACCCGCATGAATCTTCGCGTAAAATAAATGGCATAGGATTAGATATGCAATACTTAGGACACATTTAGATGTGCTTTAGCAAAACTGTAAGTTTATTTTGTATTATAGAGCCACAAAGTTTACATTTTCACGTTCATGATTTTACGTTATGTGGAATAATATTTTTGACCGACATACAGTTTGTTACCTTCAATTTTCACTTCCGATGTAGGACAAAATCTACTAGACCTAAAAATATGGTGTACTGAATAACAAGAGAGGGGTCAAGAATAACTATTCCTCACCAAGAGTGACGAATAGCTCGACCCTATAATTATATATAGGAAAAATACATTCTATCACCTGGTGGTAGTTATCCTCGTGTCCTATATAACCTCTGTACTCTCCCCATGTATATGATGGTGTTATAAATCCTTTTGGAAGGGATTCACAGCTCTTTTGACATAGGCCTTTCCGGATTCTTCTAGAAAGTGATGAATGGCCGCCAGAATTACCATATGGTAAAGTGGGCTGACATTTGCATGCCAAAGCACTTGGGAGGGATAGGCATTCTGGCGTCCAGTCGCATGAACGTGGCCCTGATGTTGCGGTGGAACTGGTAGATCATTCGCTGGGACGAAGGTTTATGGTTGCAGCTTATTCAAGCAACTTACCTAAGGGGCCAACCCCTTCTTGCATGTTGTCATAGCGAGGGATCCCAATTTTGTATCTCCATCCAGCGGATCAAGCATGAGTTCTGTCGTTAGCCGCCTTCCCTGTTGGCAATGGCGAGTGGACCCTTTTCGGGCTTGATCCGTGGGTGGACAGGGCACTGTTATGTACGGGGTTCCTAAACTTGTTTGCCATCTGTAATGTGTTGGTCTCCATGGCTGCCCACAATGGCCATTAGAACATCTTGTTCCGACGAACATTTGAATTGGTGCAGACCTAGAGTGGGCTTACTTGCGGGCTGCCTTCCCGCTGTTTCTAGCAAATTATCCGGTCACCGTATCCTAGCAGTTGGCCCCCTTCAGCGGACTTTTCTGTCGCCTTGGCAGATCATGCCCTGTGTCGACGGCCATCTCTTACATTTACTCCTCCACTCTGGAAAGCGTCCCTGACCCTGAAGATCAAAATCTTTGTTTGGATATTGTTGCGGGACATAGGTGATCAAGCGGCACAACCCTAGGAATGAGTTGTGCTCACTTTGTGGTATCCCGACGATGGGGACGCACATCCTCTTTTCTTGAACGACAGAAAGAGCTCTTTGGAGTTCTTTCTGTGAGGCTCTGTGGCATGACTGGGAGGCACTAGACTTGTCCGAGTTCCTTCAATCCCATGCCAACCAGAATTGGAGAAGGCGAAGCCTGTTCTAGCTTGTGTTTGCGTCATGAGCTTGGACCCCATGTACTACGCGCAATAAGATGGTTATTGAGCGTGTCTTTCTTGGACGGACCTCACACTCAATTTTAAAAAAAATTGCAGCACTGACACCCGTTGTCTAGACAACGACATTGCGGTCGGCTAGCCCTTCTGATGGACACCATGACTGATGTCGCCCGCCAACTTGCCTGGCAACAGGCCTCCTAAGACTCCGGCCACTTGGTGTTTTTTTCTTATTCTTTTATGTTTTCCTTGGGCGTGTTTGTGCTGATGCCCCTGGAAACTATTTTATTCCTATGCAACACTTGAACTTGTTGTAAGAACATGGTGGTTGGTTTGTTTATAAATCGGGGAAACGCCTATTTTAAGATAATATGGTTAATTTAGCCTACGCGTATTAGTGTGATGGATTGCATTCCTATTGTTTCAACATCCAACAACATATTAGATCACCCATAGAAAACAAGGAGAATGCATCGATGAGAAATAATACAAATATGGATACACATGATTCTGTACAAGTGAATGTCATCTATTCATAAGAATGAGAGATCCATACAAATAAGTTATATGTGCAAGGTAGTTGTATGTCACTAAGAACGTAAAAGAATGTTGTGACTATAAAATTAAATTAAAGGTTTTAAGAAACACATCATGTCATCAAGTGTACAATAAATCATCGCAATCGTGCTAAAATGATAGGTGAACGAAAATGAGATGGCTACTAGAAACAATAATCGTAATGATAGTTTAGAAAAATATTAATACAAAATTAAGCATGGAGGAATGTAGAAATTTAGAAAGAAATTTGCATTTTGTTCTTTTTTTGGTAAAGCATACCTTTATTACTTAACAGTACTCGGCCAAATCGGCCTGAGCACAAGCAACCACATTGGCTGGAACATCAGACACCTGTTCCACACAGTAGTTTGGATTACAAAGACGACCAATACAAGCTAATTCATGCGCCACAGTATTCGCACCTCGGCGACAAGCCGAGATCTCTTGTTTCGAGAACCAGAGTTTAAGTGGAATCTTGTTCTTGAATATGGAGGAATAATATCGTAGTAATAAAGGTTTCAAATACACTGTAGCCAACAATGAGGTGGGTGGTGGAAGAGAAAGGTAATATTTAAGTTGGATGTTGCAATGTGACTGCTAGATTTATGGCTAACTATCAAAAATATGTTATGGGTTCCTTCTTATTTGGGGTCAAGTTTTTTGTCAACGGAGTGACATATGTAGGACAAAACTTCTGCAACGCTTTGCCAAGTGTTCCCAGCCTCCAAGGAAAGAACCCTCATACCCAGCCGCAGCTAGGGTTCCTCCCACCTCTCATCGTCGCTGACGCCGGTCTACCTCATCTCATGTGGCCTTAGGGTCATGGAGGCATGGTGGATCTCGGCCCTTGCCGACGGGAGGGCTTAGTTTTTGGATGTCCTTTTGCTTTCTTAGGTTTTGTTTCCTGCTTAGAGAGATCAAGCAATGACGGCTCTCTGAAGATGAAATAAGATTCTCCCCGTCAGCCCCCGTATCAGTGGTGCTTCTTGCATCATCAGAAGGCATGTGGAGGTTTGTCTCCGGCGAAACTAGCGGGATTCGGTCGGTGTTTGTCTTCAGTGGATCCACGTGGATCCGGTCTTTGTTCGTGTGCGTTCGTTTGTCTACAGGTTAGATCCTTCTGATCTAAACTTCTCTTCAACTTCAGTGGTTGTTGTTCTGGTGCGCTGGTCCTATAGGGCCTTAGTACGGAAACTTCTTTACTGTCCATTACAATAAATTTTGCCTCGCTCCAAGGATAGAGGGGCGATGACGACGACGCGCTTTCACCTCGCTTCAGTGCTTGTAGTCGTCGCTAGGTGATCTACGGATCTGGTTGTAAGTTTTCTTATTTCTGGTATTTGTTAGACTATCATGTTTGATGATGAATAGATTGGAGTTTTCTTGAAAAAAGAGAGTGACATATATAAAGAAGACTGAGAAGAACAACATTGTAATTTCCTACCGATGATTGAGGGTAGAAGAAAACTATATGTAGGGTACAATAGATATGAGAATACAAGATTAAACTGATACGGTATGTACATTTCTCTCAAAAAGAACGTTATTCACTACCCAAATGGTAAGTGTCATACATGTGGCCCGTCACACATGTGGCACGAAGCAATATGGCCCAAACGTTTCATTACCAGTCATTTTTCCACGTCAAACAAATTACATCAACGGTTTTTTATTATTTTTCGGACTTAAAAATGTTTTATCTCTTCAATAAAAAATCTAATTAAAAATCCGTTTACACTAGGTCTTCAAAACTAGGTCTCATATTGATATGTTTCGACGACTTTTTTTTTGCCAAAAGTTGTCATGATGTTTACACTGAGTTGACACAGTGTTTACATTAATGTTGCCATGTTATGTTTCATCTATTTTTATCTTCTAGATTTTAAAGCTGCCACTGTATTTTAACTTCTGTTCACGGTAAATTTTATTAATTGACCATAGCAATTTATAGTAATTAACCATGGCAAATTTACTTCATGGATCATGGCAATTTTTAGTAATTTATCATGGAAAATTTAGTTTATAGATCATGACAATTTTAGTTTACAGATCATGGGAATTTTAGTATTTTGACCATAACAATTTATGTACTTTCACCATGTTAATTGTTTCATTTATAAACCATGGCAATTTTGGTGCATGTATCAAGGCAAATTTAAGTAATTCATCATGGCAATTTTAGTTTATGGTTCATGCCAAATTTGAGTCATTGACCATGTATTTCTAAAGTACTTGACGACATATTTCTTTTTAATTATGCACCATGAAAAAATTACATCATGGATCATGGCAAATTTTAGTAATTCACCATGACAAGTTTAGTTTCTTAATTCTCTTTTTATAACATGTCAAAATTTACTTTAAAGGTAGAAGAGAAAGTAGTTCAAACATATCATAACAACTTCAGCGTAAACGTCATGGCAACTTCAGTGCAATAGACATGGGAACTTTTAACCAACAAAAATCGTCGAAACATATCAATATGGGATCTAGTTTCGTAGATCTCGTCGCGACGGATTTAATGGTGAAAATTATTTTTTAATTGGATTTTCATTTTAGGAGATAAAACATTTTAAAAACTGAAAACCCAAAAGGTTCCCGCTAACTTCATCAGTTCATCATTTGTGCATGCATGCGGTGACGTGGCGTGATCTGTGATGATGAGGACGTTTGGCCCAAGTTGCATGGTACACACATGTGGTATTTATCGGGGTCCATTCACTAAAGGAGTTTTTTAGTAGTATGATTTAATTACTAATAAGTAGCACAATGATTCATCTCAAAACGGAAAATGTGCAAGAAAAGAAAAGGCGCGCACCAGTGAGGAAACTGAAGCAGCCACCAGGGATGTACGGGTCCCCGCGGGTTCCGTTTGGGCAACGGCACTGAAACGAACCATCCGTATTGGTACACTGACCATAGCAGTTGTGGATGTTGAATTCTGAATGCTCACACTCGTCGATGTCTGCATACATAAATGTGAAAATTCAGAATTAAAGGACTTGCATACGACATATTAATTGTTATGAGCTAGAGCATGTAGTACTAGTAGTACAACTGAAAAACCTCTTAGCATCATGTAAGTTACTAGGAAATAAACGAACGGTCGGATTTAACCTTGGCATCCGTTGCTGATGTAGGGATTGCCCATGTAGCCTTTACTGCAGGAGCACCAGTAGCCGCCTGTCGAACCTCTACCGCAGTACGCTTTGTCGCTCCTGCAGACTCTACGGGCCAAGTTCCTAGGACACTTCTCCGAACTCTGCAGCTGATCTTCGTCGTCCTTGTGGCCATCCATCACTTCCCAATCGAGCCAGATGGGAACTTCGGTCGATGAGGATGGCGTGGAAAGCTGGTGCGAGAAGCTCCATGCCGCGAACCAGCCGTACGTGGCGACGAAGACGCGCGTGGGCAATTTCCGGACGGCGCTGCGGTTCCACTCGAAAGACTCCAGCTCCACGACATGGGTACCAGCTCCTTTGATCCGGCCAGTCCCCCGTGGTTGAGGACGATGGGTGCCTGGCAGCAGCCTTCGCCGGAGCATAGCAAGCCTTTCTGCGGGCTGGAGAGCCTGGATGGCATGTGGGAGGTGGAGGTGCGCCCGTCGTAGTCATTTGAGCAGACAGAGGAGCAACTGCTCATGGTGATGTTGCCATTCCTCAACGTCGCTCGCACGTTGCAGCCCAAGAGGATGAGGTAGTTCCCTCCCGACAGTCGGTAGGGACAATCGTTGCCGAGGCCGCCGCCGAGCCTGCCTTGGCCGCCACCGTCGATTTTGATGCCGCCAGTGTAGACGACGGTTAACCCGGAATAACTGGGGTCGATATCTTTGGAGACCCGCAGCGTGCCGTCCCCGAGGAGGAGCCGCGGTGGGTTGCTTGACCGGTCGCATGTGAGGTTGAACCCCGGCATGTAACAGTAGGACGGGCCCATGCCGAACGGGTACGGCACTCTTATGTTGCCGCAGCTTGTGTGGCAGCCGGGCATCCCTCTTGGCGCTTGTGCTGCTGCTGCTCCGGCGGAGAGCTGAAGCAGCATCAGCAGCAGCGCGGCTGCCGCTGAGTAGATGGTCGCGTGGTGCGCCATTACTAGATGATGGAAGTGGAACTATGGTTGTATTGTAGGGCTCTCTTTAGCATCATGGCTTATTTATAGTCAGCTACCACCCTTTTTTGTCTTGTATATAGAAAATTTAAATGATGGTGGATTCGAACAGGCCGAGTGGCCTTCGTTGGGAAGGTTCACCCATCGTATCTAAGTATGCCACCTGTTATACCAGCTTGTAATCATAGTTTCAAATAGCCGAGATAGCATCCGTTATTGCGGACTCCACAATAGCGCTAGCGCAATAGCGTCCGTTATTGCTCAAATTAAATTTCATTACTTTTGTTTAGGATAGAAATATAACCAATAATCTAGTGCTTTTACAAATCCGCTACGCGGGCATAGCTCCCGCAATATCGTCTGCTATCTGCATTCCGCTACGCGGACCCCAATCCGCTACCAGCCCGCTATGCGGTTGCCGATTTGGATTCGAAAC